AACAAAACAAATTAATATACAGGTATAAAAAAAAATACACATAGGGTGATACTATCTTTTTTTAATTATTTTTAATAATTTTTATTATTTTTATTATTTTCATACAAAATAGAAACTTGCTTACATAAAACATGATGTTCAGAATTTAATCAAAATCATAAAAAAAGTCATAGCACAACATATAAATACAAATACAGCAACTTTCATGCCAAATGGAGAGCGAGGGGAGTTCTATAAATTGGTCACAGAATTCCAAGATCACATTAGAGTCTTATACTAGTTTTCCGCCCTTGAGTCTTTAGGTGTGACCTGGACATTCTTTCTCTCAGGGACAACCATAATCCCCATATTCACTTTATAACTTTTCTAGCCAAATGGTACTATAATCTTTAGCTTTCAGATCTTTACCATATAGATTGTCTAGTTGGGATTCCATTCCCATAGGAGTTTGTCTAAAGAAAAGGGTAATGAATTTTTCCAATTCCTAGCTATTCTTATCTTTACCGCTATCATAAAATGAATATAAATAATCGAATCCTTCTGAGATAAGGAATCAATATTTAAATGTAAAATAGCATTTTCTGGAAATTTAGGAATAGGCTTAGAAATCAATTTATCAAGAGTAACAAAACTTTCCTGCCAAAAGTTTCTGACAATCTCACATTCCCACCAAATGTGTATGAAAGAGCCCCAACTGTTGCTTACATCTCCAACATAGTGGTGAAGTCGAGCTGTACATATTGGCTAGTCTGGTAGGGACAAGATACCATCTATTTATTACTTTATATAATGTTTCTAGTAAATTCAAACAATTAATATTTTTTAGCTGTTCTGGGTATAACTGCACACCAATTTTCCTTATTAATTTTTATTTTTAATTCTTTCTCCCATTTTTGCAAAGACATAATGACAGGAGGTGCATCCAGTTTTAGGATAGCATTCATTGCTGTAGCGGATACTATATTTACTGTCTTATTATTTAATATTAAACATATCAGCTTAGCCCCGACTTGAGGATTATGCTCAATCTTTTGGTTTAAGAATTTTTTTAATCTCAAATATGTAAATAATTCCTTATTAGGTAACCGGAATTCCGGCTTCAGTTGTGGGAATGGTTTGATTTTGTCGTTTACAAACAACTGGTCAGTCTGGACGATACAACTAAGGATCCAACTCTTTAAGTTAAGGTCTGTTATGTAATATGGTATTAATTCAATTTTAAGAGTTAAGGGGATTTTGGTTTGCACTTCCCTTTTATTATCTGCCAAATTTCTAGTATTGAATCTATACATATATTAGATTTTCTTATAAGTCGGACTTTAGGATCAGCAGAACTATACCAGAGTAAAGAACTTAGATCTTGAACTTGACATATCTCCCTTTCTAGGATATACCACCCCTCATTCTTAACACTTTCCAACTGGGTTCGGTAAATATGGAAGAACTCGTTTGCCAGATATATATCGTTAATGGTCGGAAAACCCAAGACTCCTTCATTAATTTTCTGTGCCAGGAGTTTTTTATTTATTCTAGGTCTCTTGTTTTTCCAAATAAAATTAGTGACCGAATTTTGAATCATGTCGAGCCATGGTCTAGGTATTCTTATGGGAAGCATTCGGAACATATATGCCCACTTAGGGAAGAGATATGCCTTTATTAAATTCATTCTACCCCACCAAGAAATTTCTATTTTTTTCCATTTGTTCAGCGCTTTGGATATGTCCCTAAAGTTGCTCAAAAAGTTAATCTGCATTAATTCTGAGGGATTACTTGTCAAAAATATCCCTAGATATGGGATACTATTTTTAGCCCATTTAAAGCTATAGAAATCTTGTAGGTGGGTCCTGGTGGCTGTATGGAAATTAATATCTAATATGGTTGTTTTACCTTCATTTAATTTATAGTTAGAAATTTCGCTATATACCTTTACTACCTCCATAAAAGCCTTGATGGATTTAATAGGATCGGTAAGGGTCAAAATTAGATAGTCAGCGTACAGTTTCAGTTTCAACTCTCTATGTTTAATAGTTATCCCTCTTATATGTTGGTTAGATCTTATTTTATTAGTGTAACGGATCACCTGGCACCCCGACTGGGTACCTCCGTTGAAAGATGCTCCTAGCGCTTCCAGAGGACTCCAAGCACTCCACCAGACACCATAAGCACCGCAGGCTGCAGCTATCTCCCTTCAGAACGAAGCAGGAACAAGCTCTTACAAGAGCTCAGTGATTATAGCAAGGGAATATGCCTAGCATAGCAATCCCTTGTAGCAGATTCCCCCAATAAGAGACAGGACTCAAGTTGAGGGTAAAAATAGAACTCTCTGGCTGCTAGCTTGCAGCCCTTTTTATTAGGTGCTCCCATGAAGGGGAGGGACACACACAGTAACGTACATTAACCAATCACACAATAGTTACATCCCACACATAGCCCTCCCCTCTACCTGTAAACTAATTATCTGTACACACAGGGAAATACAATTATCATAGGTAGGGAAAATACAGTTTTTACACAACATTCATAACTCCCAAAATATACATCACATTCGCATAAAAATACATATTCACAATCAATCCATTCAGGGGAACAACATATTTAAAAATGGCATGAATCAGACCAGGGGTTCAAAAGTTAGTAAAAGTATCTTTTGTTCCCCCTGGCTCAAACAGTAAAAGTAAAACATCCCCACAATGCATCCTGGCTTCCTCCCTTCTGCCCTGGAGATAATTGGAGAAGGAATCTAATTATCTCCAAAGACAGAGCCAAACTCCATTACCCACATGGCAGACAAAAAGACAGTAAAAGACATAAAATTACATACTGACACATTTAGTACATAAAACACACATTTCTACATATCCCCAGATAGCTTGGATCTGACTGCACATTATTAGATGAATGGCACTCAGATCACACGAATAAGCCTTTCTGCAGGGAAAATAAACAGTTTAACCTGCAGGGCCATAGTCCAAAGGCAAGAGGCGGGCAAGCAGCCCCCTCCAAGGACACGTGGCGAGGTCGGTTTTGCCACAATTAGCCAAGATTTCCATAGTAATTATGTAGAGAATAGGGCAGCCCTGTCTTGTTCCATTATACAAATTGAACCAGTCAGCGCCCACTGTCCTCGCTGAAGGACCAGTATATAGAGACATTATGGCTCGATGGATCCAACCCTGAAATCCAATTTTTTTCACGGTTTTGCTCATAAATACCCAATCCACTCTATCAAATGCTTTCTCAGCGTCCACCGTTACTATAGAAAGGTTTATTTTTGTTCTATTAGCCAAGTCTGTGATGTCAATAATACATCTGGTGTTATCAGAGGAGATTCTACCTGGTACAAAACCTATTTGATAAAGGTCTATTATATCAGGTAGTATGGTTTTCATCCTATTTGCTATTATTGCAGCAAAGATCTTGACATCAGTATTTATGAGGGATATAGGTCTATAACTTTCCACCTGACTTGGGTCTTTATTCTGCTTCAAAATTGGTGTTATATTTGCTCTTAGCATTTCTTTGGGGAATTGACCAGTTTCTACTATATTGTTAAATAAGTTTGCTAATTGACCCGTAGTTTTATTATTCTCCAATTTTTTAATAGCTTCCTCCACCTCTTGGGTCGTTATCTGAGCATTAAGAAGTGTTCTTTGAGAGTCTGATATTGTCGGGAGGTCAATAGCCTCTAGGTATTTGTCTATATCTTTTTCTTTTGTTGAAAGGGAATATAAGTCGCCAAAATATGTATTAAAACATTTCCCTATAGACGTGGGAGAAATATGGATCTTGCTATTCATCTTTATTTTTGTTATTCTACTTGAGACCCTTTTATCTCTGAGCTTCTTAGTTAGGAGTTTGTCTGCTCTGTTCCCTATACTGTATTCTTTCAACTTAAGTTTTGCCAGAATTTTTACATTCTCTTCTATGTTGATTTGATTAATTTGGTCTTTAATCATCTTACTCGCTTCTAAATTAACTCTAGAAGGATTCATCTTATTCTTTTTCACTTTTTCAGCTAGATTATTATAAAGCAGGAATAAGTCCAGACTTTTGTTCCTATTTAAGTGTGCTTCTAAGCTTATTAAGTTGCGTCTCATGGTAGCTTTAAAAGAACACCAGTTATTAGAATATGAGGTTTCGTTGGAAAAGTTAATTTCAAAATAGCGTTCTATCTAGGATCTAAGAGAATCTATATTTGATTTATTATGGAGTAGATAATCTTTTAATCTCCATGTAGCTTTGTTTATATTATTCCACTGATCTCTCATAGTCCAGATATTAATGCTATGGTCCGACCAGGTATTATCCCTGATTTCAATCTTCTTTACCTTTTCTAAAGCTATTGCGTTGCCCCACACCATATCAATATGTGAGTATGAGTAGTGTACTCTAGAAAAAAAAGTATAATCCTGTCTCTCCGGGTAGGAAGATCTCCATAGATCAAAAATATCAAATTAATTCAGTAACTTGTTTATGGATTTGGCCATTTTTACTACAGAACCATTGGCTTTTAAATTATTAATAAACTTCTTATCCAAGATTGGATCCAAAATGCATTTAAAATATCCTGCTATAATACACACTCCAGTTTTTATAGATTCAACTTGTTCTAGTATGTCTCTAAGAGTAATCACTGGGAGGGTGTTAGGCAGATATATGTTAACCAATGTATATTTAATTTCGTTTAGTTTACAAACAATTAAAAATCTAGCTTCGGTATCTGCAAATTGATAGATTAATTCAAATTTCACGGAACTTGCCACAATAATAGCCACCCCTCTTTTCTTCTGATCATTAAGAGAAGCATGAAATACATTTGGAAATTTAGCCCCTCCCCATTTTACATTGTCTATCAACCTCCAATGAGTCTCTTGTAAGAACCTGACCTCTACATTTTGATTCTTAAAAAAATCTTAGACCAGAGTTTTTTTTGCTCGTAAATTTAGGCCCTGAGTGTTTACTGATACCATTTTAACCATGTTCTTTAAAGAAATCTCCCGGTGCTCCCATCGGCATGCACAAACACTTCACAACATTGACATTTACATTACAGTCATACTCTTCTATTCTGGTTGTAAGCCAGAAAATACAGGATGGCCTCTCACCCAACAAGATGACCTTGGTGGTTAGAGCCATTCTCTCGATAGTTGGTTTGAAACAAACCCTCCTAACTGTACCTGTGTTTCAACAAGGACACATAGCCGGGGTCAAGAACCCTGCCCAAGGGGATAGGCCTTCATCATTTCTTCTCTTCCCTTATTCTCTCTGATATCCTTTATATTTCTCATTAAGAGAGAGAAAAGAATGGAAAAGGAGAAAAAGGAGAAGGAAATTTTTTTATTTTTTTTTTATAGAAATACTCTGTACCTTATGTTCTGTTTACTTCGGCACTCTTCCAGTTTACCTCCCTGTATGTATTGGGTGCAAAACCAGCTTGGGGTGAATTAATCTAGTGATGTCCTATTAAATACTATTATTTCTATAAACACTTGTGTAAAACCTTCATTAGTGGCTATATAACCTTATTAATATACTTATTTTCGCTAGTGCTTGTTCCGTGAAGTACGCTTAAAAATAAACAGAAAAAAAATAAAAAAAATATCTATCCCTATTATTTACTTAATTAGTAAATTGTACTTGTGGCTTCCTTTAAACAAACTAGTGTGAGAATCCTTCCTTCTTGTAGGCTTTTTCATCTGTGTTTTCTTGAGTAATTTGTGTCTTGTGTTGGGGTGGAGAAAAGTATCCTGATAATCTTTTATCCGGTGGTAAATCTCATTTATCTTTTTTCCTCCGGTCTTCCTGGGCTTTTTTAGATGCCATATCGGTTTTTCTTCTTTTTCTTGGCTCTCTCTTCCTCCCCCCCCTTACTCCCCTCAGTGCTCTTCAGTACTCCTCTTTGTTTTTTCTTTTTATCTTTCCCTTTCCTTTTCTTTCCTTCTTTTATCCTTTAGGGGGAAATCTTATTTTCAGGAGATCAATCCGGAAATCAGGAGATCAATCCGGAAGAAGGGGGAGAGAGACAAGAGGGCACTATATTGTGCCGTAGTGGACAATAGGATCAGGCAAAAAATAAAATAAATAAACAATATCTAGGAACCCAGCTCAGGAACAAAATCAATCCTTATTTTATGTAGTGTGTAATATGCAGTTTTAGGACTTGCCTGAGGGATTATATCCTTATCTGCCCCTTTAACCCCTTACGCCCTATTTTAGGCGTCTCTAAACGCCGCCGGGCGTAATAGTACGCCCTCCATTTTTTTCTTACTTACCCGGTCGCCGGCGATCCCACGCCGGCGATCGTGGTTAGGGGAACTCCCAGGGAGCCCCCTGCGGTGGATCCTCCGTCCTGCAGGCCCCCCCCGGCCATGTGAGAGTGAGGTCCTTGCAAGGACCTCACAATCACATGGCCGGTATAGCTGGCTGCTGTATTGCCAGCAGGGGGATTGCCTGCAATGGCAGGTAGTCCCCCTGCTGGCCGGAAATAAAATAAAATAAAATTAAAAAATGTAAAAAAAATAAATTATATACTTAGATCATATATATATATATATATATATATATATCATAAATATATATATGATCTAAGTATATATATATATATATATATATATATATAAACATATACATACACACACATACACTGTCTAGGTATATTTTACTATTAATATATATATATATAATTATATATATATATATATTAATATCAAATTACACGTAGACTGATACTGATTAAATATATATATAATTATTGTTATATATATATATATATTAATATATAATATAAAAAAATGTAAATACGTAAAAAAATTAATAAAAAAAATGAAAAATAAATAATTACAAAATATATAGATGTGTGTTATTTCGTTCTAACTGTATTGTGATATTATATATATATATATATTTATATCAAAATACACGTAGAAAGAAATAATATATATCTATATACATAAATATATACGTATATATCACTATATACATACCTATATATAAATAAAAAATATTTTAAAAAATTATATATATATATATATATATATATATACATACATATATACACATACGTATATATATATATATACATATAATAATTCTACATATATATTTATGTAATATTTTTTACATAATTAGGTATCTTAATTAATTACAATTAGCGGGACCTGCCTGACAACCCATGCTGAAAGTAAAGGGAATTTAATTTGCTAGCACTGTATTTAACCCTATAACTTTCCAAGACACCATAGAACCTGTACATGGGGGGTACCGTTCTACTCGGGAGACTTCGCTGAACACAAATATTAGTGTTTCAAAACAGTAAAATATATTGCAACGATGATATCGCCAGTAAAAGTGAAGTTTTTTGCATTTTTCACGCACAAACAGCACTTACACGGACGATATTATTGCTGCGATACTTTTTACTGTTTTGAAACACAAATATTTGTGTTCAGCGAAGTCTCCCGAGTACAACAGTACCCCTCATGTACAGGTTTTATGGTGTTTTGAAAAGTTACAGCGTCAAATATAAGGCTTGTGTTTCATTTTTTTCACATTAAAATTCACAAGATTGGTTACTTTGACTTTGAGACCCTATGGTAGCCCAAGAATGAAAATTACCCCTATGATGGCATACCATTTGCAGTAGTAGACAACCCAAGGTATTGCAAACGGGGTATGTCCAGTCTTTTTTAGTAGTCACTTAGTCACAAACACTGGCCAAAATTGGCGGTTTTTGCATTTTTCACACACAAACAAATACTAACGCTAACTTTGGCCAGTGTTTGTGACCAAATGGCTACTACAAAAGACTGGACATACCCCATTTGCAATACCTTGGGTTGTCTACTATTGCAAATGGTATGCCATTATGGGTGTAAATTTCATTCCAGGGTTACTATACAGTCTCAAAGGCAATGTAACCAATCTGGCGAATTTCAATTTCAAATGTGTCGTGTTATATTTGACCCTGTAACTTCCCAAAACGCCATAAAACCTCTACATAGGGGGTACTGTCTTACATGTGAGACTTTGCTGAATACAAATATGTGTATTTTATTGTAGTAAAAGCAAACAGTATTATGACATTGACAGTTAAAATGTCATGTAGAACTAAAAAAATAAAAAAACTTTTCTCCCATTTATTTAATATTAAATTATGTTTCATAGCTAAATATTTGATATTAAATGAAATCCCTGTTTCCCCTGAATAAAATGATATATAATAGCTAAATATTTGATATTAAATGAAATCCCTGTTTCCCCTGAATAAAATGATATATAATAATGGTGGGTGCATTTACTATGAAAGAGGTGAATTACGGTTGGACAGACGTAGCGCAAATGCCAGGTTTTGTTTACATTTTGTTTTGTTCACAACGTGTACATTTGGCTCCGTCCTTAAGGGGTTAGGACATCCTTCAGTATGTTGCTTTCTAGGATCTCTCTGGGCTCTCTCTGGGTTCTCACTCTGTCCTTGCCTCTCTGCTTTCACCTTCCCCTCTCTCTTCTCTCCCACTCTTTCAGCTCTTTATTTATTCCCTTTGTCTCTCCAGCCCCACCTTAACTCCGTTGTTAGTTTTCCTTTGTTATATACTCCTTCTCTTTTCCAATCATACCTTTACCGCCATATGTTTGGTTGAACCTTCAACCTCGACAGTGTCCTCCTTGGCGCCGGAAGACTCCAGCTTGTTGTATTGTAGCGGGTAGGTAAACTGGGGCACCCAGGGGGAAAGAGAGGGATCCGCTTCTGCTGCATTTATTTCGGTGTAGCGTGGCGTGTTTTAGAGGGTAGGTGGGCTGGGGGATACCAGAAGAGAGGAAGCAGTACACTTCCACTACGGCTTCTGCAGCTTCGGCTGCTCCCCTCGGACAGACGTTCCGACCCCGCCTATCGGCGTCAACGTCTTACGTCATACGCCACTCGTATCTTGAATCTTTTTTCAGTCTGAGGGTGATACTATCTTAACACCAAATAATTCTGTCTTTGGAATGCACTCACAAAATTAAGTTATTCAAAGTGCTTTTGCCAAATTTGCAGGTAGTGGATGTTGTTGCCTCTTGGAACGTAGAGATGCTCAAAAATGGAGAACAAAATGGAACATAGTGTATAAATTACAAAGATGCATGGAAAAAAGCTTATCACCATATACAGTTGTAATCAAAATTATTCAACCTCCATTGAAAATCAGGTTTATTATAAACATTTACAAACTTTCAGCTGTTTGCAGTGAACAGCTCAAACAAAAGCAATTGAAATAGCTCAACAAAGCAATTAAAATAGCTCAACACAGCTATTGAAGCGAATACTTAAAATGGTTTCCCCAAATTCAACCGAAAATGCAAATTATAATGGGGGATGAATAATTTTGATTACAACTGTATGGTACAAGCAGTTGATCCCACGATTTTCCCATCTGTTTCAAGTAATTCAGGTGCACAATATAACTAAAACACAATATAAACAGTTTAAAGTCAAAATAAAAATCCTATGACGCATTTTGTCTGCAATGCGCTGACTTCTTCAGGGTAAAAGGAGTACCATACTACTTCATGCCCTTTTAAAGTGCTAAACGCAAGTTTTCAACCGATGAGAGGAAACACTATGCTGTCCTTAACAAATCAGTCAATGAAGGAACATTGCGGCTCCTATTTCCTCTCTTCCGCGTCCCAATCCTTGTTCCCATTGCCGTGAGTGAGGCATCTGACGTCATGCATTTTACGAATCTGGAACCAAATAAGATGTTTGCGTTTCACTGTGTTTCTTTATATTTGAAAAGATATGAGTCCTAATAATATCCATTTAGCAAAATCAACTGCTCAAGGGGAGGAAATAAATGCTACAGTAAGTGATTATACATACAGTTGCAAGAAAAAGTATGTGAACCCTTTGCAATGATATGGATTTCTGCACAAATTGGTCATACAATGTGATCTGATCATCATTTAAGTCACAACAATAGACAATCACAGTCTGCTTAAACTAATAAAACACAAAGAATGAAATGTTGCCATGTTTTTATTGAACACACCATGTAAACATTCACAGTGCAGGTGGAACAAAGTATGTGAACCCTTGCATTTAATAACTGGTTGAACCTCCTTTGGCAGCAATAATAGTTGCAGATCAGACGTGCACAACGGTCAGGAGTAATTCTTGACCATTCCTCTTTACAGAAATGTTTCAATTCAGCAATATTCTTGGGATGTCTGGTGTGAATCGCTTTCTTGAGGTCATACCACAGCATCTCAATCGGGTTGAGGTCATGACTCTGACTAGGCCACTGCAGAAGGCGTATTTTCTTCTGTTTAAGCCATTCTGTTGTTGATTTACTTCTAGGCTTTGGGTCATTGTCCTGTTGCAACACCCATCTTCTGTTGAGCTTCAGCTGGTAGACAGATGGCCTTAAGTTCTCCTGCAAAATGTCTTGATAAACTTGGGAATTAATTTTTCCTTCGATGATAGCAATCCGTCCAGGCCCTGACGCAGCAAAGCAGCCCCAAACCATGATGCCCCACCACCATACTTCACAGTTGGGATGAGGTTTTGATGTTGGTGTGCTGTGCCTTTTTTTCACCACACATAGTGTTGTGTGTTTCTTCCAAACAACTCAACTTTGGTTTCATCTGTCCACAGAATATTTTGCCAGTACTGCTGTGGAACATCCAGGTGCTCTTGTGCAAACTGTAAACGTGCAGCAACGTTTTGTTTGGACAGCAGTGGCTTCCTCTGTGGTATCCTCCCATGAAATCCATTCTTGTTTAGTGTTTTACGTAATGTAGATTGCTAACAGGGATGTTAGCATTTGCCAGTGACTTTTGTAAGTCTTTAGCTGACACTCTAGGATTCTTCTTCACCTCACCTCTGCGCTGTGCTCTTGCAGTCATCTTTACAGGACGGCCATTCCTAGGGAGAACTTTCTCCATTTATAGACAATTTGTCTTACCGTGGACTGATGAACAGCAAGGCCTTTGGAGATACTTTTATAACCCTTTCCAGCTTTATGCAAGTCAACAATTCTTAATCGTAGGTCTTCTGAGAGCTCTTTTGTGCGAGGCATCATTCACATCAGGCAATGCTTCTTGTGAAAAGCAAACCCAGAACTGGTGTGTGTTTTTATAGGGCAGGGCAGCTGTAACCAACACCTCCAATCTCATCTCATTGATTGGACTCCAGTTGGCTGACATCTCACTCCAATTAGCTCTTGGAGATGTCATTAGTCTAGGGGTTCACATACTTTTTCCACCTGCACTGTGAATGTTTACATGGTGTGTTCAATAAAAACATGGCAACATTTCATTCTTTGTGTGTTATTAGTTTAAGCAGACTGTGATTGTCTATTGTTGTGACTTAGATGATGATCAGATCACATTTTATGACCAATTTGTGCAGAAATCCATATCATTCCAAAGGGTTCACATACTTTTTCTTGCAAATGTATTTACAATTTTCACATCAATTGCAAATAAGTAATACAAAAATAAAAAAGGAGGGGGGCTACATAACTGTTAGCCAGCTGAAATAGGGATAAGGAACATTAAGTGCGATAGTTACTAACAAAAAACTAAGCTTGCAATTCTTGTACTTGTGAGTCTTGTAAAAATAAAAAAAAGAATTTAAAAAAATGACAAAAAACAAAAATGCTAATGAAAAATATAAATAAATTATATAAGATGAAAAAATTACCAAAAAAGTATGTTACATTTTTTTACATAAAACAAACCATGTTTAATTCCATATTTAACCTACTTTGGGTGCATTGTTTGTAATCTATGAATCCAATAATATTCTATCCTACTTAGCTTCATCATAATATCACCTTCTCTCTCATCCAACGTTACCTTCTCAATTCATATATAGAAAAGTTCTTCAAATCAAACATTGAACAGCTCAGGCATTGAGTGTTTGTGAAACTTGCGTTTTATATTATCCAAATGCTCTAAAAACCTGACCTTTAATTTGCGTCCTGTTGTCCCTACATATTGTACACCGCACTTCCAAGTTAGAAGGTATAGAACATAAGTAGTAAACTCATTAATATCATTATTGATTTTACAACTTTCTCCAGTTTGAGTGCTTGTAGATGACACAACATTATAAGAGAAGAATGAACGTCACTTTCTTTTCCCACATTTTTCAAGACCGCATATTTCAAGCATTCTTGCTTTCATCCCTCTAAAAGTGCTTGATGCTAATCTGTTTTTTTACATTTTGGGACCTCCTAAAAATAATAGAGGGTTCCTGAGGGATATGGGAACAAAGGAACTCATCCTCTAATAAGAGAGGCCAATTTTAATTTTTTCAAGTCTTTTTTAATGTCAAGGGCTGCTGAATTATATTGGGTGATAAAAGAAACTTGAAATGTATTGTCTATTATTTTATTTTTTATCTTACCCATTAACAAATCTCCCCCCTATTGTCATAATTTTGTTATCATCTATATCATTATAACCTTTTGTCACAAACTTTTCTTTTAAAATGTGGGCTTGTAAATAATTTACCTCCTTTTCTTTGCAACTGCACCAGATTCGGGTAAATTGACTCTTAGTTACTCCAGCTAACCAACGTTGTTGATGACTACTAGTTGGACACATACGGAGCCTTCATAACTCTTTCTTCAATTTATTTGGGACATGCTTATCCAGAACTCACTCCTTTATTTCCCCTTGGGATCCAGAACCTTGGTGCAGTCAGGAGCTGACTCAGAACATCTTGGCGTCCCTTTGTGGCAGGTCTTTTGACCTATTGATGTGCCTTTCTGACCACTGTTAGTGGCGGACCACTTGTGAGTGCATTAACCACCTTATCTTTTATCATTCTATCTATCAGTTTTACACTATGTTTTGTTTTATGTTTATGTTTTAAGTGATTACAATCTGGAATATAATTTCCTAACTGGAGTACTACCAGTATATTTCAGAAGACCTATAACCAGTGTATGCATATTATCTCATTGGTGATCCTCACACATGTAATTGTAGCACACCACATCATTTCTTTTGCCTTTTGTGTTTATCACGTTTTTTTTGGAGTTAACCAGGGTGTTGGTGACAACTAGAAGACTCACTACACATATATAACGGTTGTCTTGGCATTTAGTATTTGTTTTGAGAAAAGTCTGTTATGACTGCAACGTACGTTGACACTTTTTGATTTCTGCAATAAAATCGCGATTCATTTACTCTACAAAGACTCCAGAGTGCTCTCTTCAAGGAAAATATATTGGGCTAGAGATTTGCACCAGAGCAATTTAAATACCGGAAATGTTGAGTGCTGGGATCTAGGAAATATAAATATAAATTAAAGCTTCTTCACTCCTACGTACAAATAAATAGCCGGGTGCTCAGTAACACTTCATGCATAGTTCAAATAAAAATACCAGCACTCCAGGGCTTCCATAATTTTTCTTTTATTGCTTAATCTTTAAATAGGTCAAAGTTTCAGTTCCTAACAGGAACTTTCATCAGGACCGCATAAGCTGGACATATTATGCAAAGTTTTAATGTAAAAAAAAAATGAAAAAATGTATTTCCCATATTTTGGCAATTTTTTTTTTATTGGTAATGAGAATGTATATGTGACATCAAATTAAAGACACGTTTGCCCTCTAAAAATGGTATATAATAAGTGCAATAAATGAGAGACATGCAAATTGCGATTAAATACAAACTGCAAAAAAAGGAAAAAAATTGCTGTGTCCTTAAGGGGTTAAAGGAACACTATAGTCACCAAAATTACTTTAGCTAAATAAAGCAGTTTTAGTGTATAGATCAGTCCCCTGCAAGTTCACTGCTCAATTCACTGTCATTTAGGAGTTAAATCACTTTGTTTCTGTTTATGCAGCCCAAGCCACACCTCCCCTGGCTATGACTGACAGAACCTGCATGAAAAAAAAACTGGTTTCACTTTCATGAATATACATAATATTAAAAAGTATTTTTACATTAACATACCGCAATAATAAATATATTGAGTATGGAATGTTCGTGCAGAAAATCAATAAAAGTGATTTTACAGATGCAATTTACCTTATATGAACTCTAGGTACAACTACAAACATATTTTGACGGTACAATATTTGTACTTTCCCAGCTAAAATGTGTTATGTCTAACATTTCTGTGTTTTAAAATACTAATGTTCTCCTAATGGTTCAATGGTAGTTTCTGTAGCTAAGGGTACAGAGAATTAGAAAGCTTTTATATTGCAAACACTACACTTGGTATCCAAAGTACCTAACCTACAGTGCATAAAAAATGTGCTTTTTCAAAATGTACCATATAATCTGGTAGTCTTTTTAAAATATATTTACCAAATACTGAAAATATGTTTATTTGCAAAATAAGTAACAAATAATAAGTTTGTATTAATGAAAAAGGATAATTAATATGTTATATATTTTAAAACCCAAAGAAACATTTTTGAAAAAAGAAATGCAATAAAAATACTGGTCTTAAAATGATAAAGGTAAATTACATAATTAACAAGTATTTCTACATTTTTCCTAACTAGGTTTTGTTATTAAACCAATACAAAGAGTAATAGTTTAATAACAAATACTAGTTTGGAAGAAAGAAAGAAACATAAACACACGGTTTTAAAAGCCCTATCAGTAGACTTAGAATCTTTGAACTAACAAAAACCTACATCATATCAAACTCTCAAGAGTACCTTTATTTATTTCTAAAACAGTTAATGCTCTCAGTAAACTACCCCCCCCCCACCCACCCCAACTTGTATAATGCTTGTATTAACTATATTTTTAAATTGTTTGTTCAATTAATTTGTTATTAATTAACCTGGCTCCTCATATTGTAAGTAATTAAACGGTAGTTAGAACGATATGTCTCCTTGCCTGGGGTCTGCCATGTGCCGCCCCCACTCTCAGCCTCAGACTCTAGCTTAGGAAACTTCTGTTAGTTCTCCTTAGTTAAGCCCTGCAGTGCAGGACATAGCTTAGAGATCTTCTGGTAGTAGAAGCAGGGGCAGACATCATACATACAGAAGTCTGAATCGACGAACCCGAGGGTACTCTTTCTACTTTACCTTTGTAAATTTTCACTTACTAAATGCTTTTCTTGTATTTATGGAACTTTGCAATGCTGAACCAGTTTATCTTTGTTTTATTTCTCCTTCTGTTCAGTATTTGCTGAACCTGTCTATAGGATTCTTATGCAAGTATTGATGTGTGCTGGTTGAGTAGCACTTTTCATGCACTATACAACTTTATGATTATGATATGTTATGGTAAAATGATTTATATATATATATATATATATATATATATGTATATATATATATATATATATATATATATAGTATATTGCGTAATAAAAGTTCCTATATATTACATTGCATGAGTAAATAATGTTGTGCGTCTGCACCAATTTTAATTTTGAACATGTTGTAAACTTGGATCCAGGTCATGCTATATGTAACATTTATTAGTCGTGAGTGTGGGTCGCCTAGCCAGTCCTCGTCTCCTTGTTCCGCGTGCTGTGTGGCTTTATAGGTGGTGATGCGTCCGTGGTTATGGCACACTTGGATGTGGGTGTTTTTGACGTGAGAGTGTCTCGTGGGCATAGAGGTGATTGAGTTCTGTTATGTGACTACAGAGGTGTGTGGGTATTTAATCACAGTTCTCCTGCAGGATTTTGTTCTATGCCTTGGGTGAAGGAAATTCCTAACCGAGGGAGTTGTGCGGGGAAAGGGGTTGTGGTAAGAGTTGTCGATCGTTTGATTGTTTGTTGGGTGATCCTGTTCCAGATTTGTTGGCCTCACATGTGTGTCCAGTGTTATGTCATGTGGGGTTGGGCTATACTGAGCATGTAGTTTCAGACAGTTGCGGCCTGTGTCGAGGTTACGTCCGTCATGAGTTCTTAAGGAGATAATCTCCAACTAGTAAAATAGCATTAACAGAAACAGTAAACTAGAGTAAAATCATATATCACATAAGCCAATTCAGCAAAAAGGTTGAGGAGGAAGAGAAACAAATGTGGGGAATAAAACATTGCAGTCCTTAGACTTGTTAAGGCTAAGTTAGGTTCTGGGGAAGGGTCTCTAACGCCAGTGCTTGCGCCTCATTGTCAGCCAGTCCCCTGAGGCTGACTTGGTTCCAGGGTCCGGGGGCTCCGGTTCCTCGGAGCAAACGGTGTGGTATGCCCCGGGTCCCAGTGAGCAGTAGAGGATCTCTGGGGTGGGTTTGAGGTCGGGAGCTCCAGTCCCAGAGTCTCCAACAGTGTGGGTGCCTCCTCCATTGAGGTAAGTATGTGTTGGGTTTCGTTTTGGTGTATCACCAGGGATCTGTTCACCCCCCCATCTGTAAGTTATGTCTGCCGCTCTAAGTCCGTTAGTGAGGGTACTGAAGGTTTTGCGCCACGTGAGTGTGGATTTTGTAAGGTCCTGGAAGAAAGTCTGGCTAGCGCCCTCAAAGGTCAGAGGTGTTTTACCTTTTAACGCGGTCATGATCTGTATTTTGTCGTGGACCATTGGGCACCTGAGTATCACATCGCGGGACACGTTTGAGAGCGCCTTCGCTGATGTAGGTAGGCGATATATCTCCTCTGTGATCGACTTCTTGACTGTTGCATGGGGTAGAATTGTGGCCAGTAGGCGTCTTGTGTAGTGCGACAGTTCATTTGGTAAGATGGCAGCCGGGATGCCCCTTATTTCTATATTTGTGCGCCAGTGGTGTTTCTTCATGGCCGTTTGCTTTGCCATCATGGCTCTTTGTTGTGCCCAGACTTGTTGCACTGAGTCTTGGAGCTCAGCCGGGTTGGATTGTATGTCTGTGATGTGTTTTTCGGATGCTTGCACCCTGTTTGTGGTGGCTGTGATGTCTGTTTTGATGGGGGCCAATTCTGCCACTAGAATTTTGTGGAAGTCAGATAGTAAGATTTTCAGGTCATGCCTGGATGTTGGGGTCATGTCTGCTGGAGGTTCAGGTTAGGGTTGCTGCTCCATGTGGGTTACCGGGGTTATTGCTGTCTCCGATGGTTCTGTGTGTTGGGAGTGATTTGCTGAGCACGGGATTTCCGCGTGGGTGAATTTCGTCGGAGTAGGCCGTTGGAGCATGGCCCCTATATCCCTTGAGTGTTGTACGGTTTGTGGTCATTGTGAACGGTGGCCCATGACTGGTGTGTGAGCAGGTTGGTCTGAGCTGAGGCTCTGTCACGCGCTTCGTAGCCGCTGAATATTTTCTTCAGGTCTGGGAGTATCAGCGTGGGCTAGGCCCCGGTTTTCCGCCTCCACTTTGGCTGGGTGGACGCCGCAAAGAATGGCATTGATCACCTCAGGGGAAGGTAGCGAGTCCCGCTGGTGGCTTTTGGATGCCGAATGGGCTTAGGGTGATGAGATTTTCCTCGGGTTCTGCAACTTTACAGGGAAGCTTGTCTGAATGGCGTCTGTGTAGCTCGATGGTCAAGCTCCGCCCCACAAAATGATTTAAATATTAATCTTGTGGATTGATAACAATTCATATAAGTGTCAGTGTACGCTTTTGAGGACTGCTGTAATCGCATACTTCACTTTTAGTAGCATTTCTTATTCACTTAATAATTGGTTGCAATTTTTTATAGGATATATAACCTTGGCATATTATGTTATGTTATACTATACATGGGTAAATATTGGATGTGCACCATTATTATCTAAAAGACTAGATTCACCAGAGAGATGCTTAGTATTGTGGATGTCTATTCAGGTAATTTATATTAACCCCTTAAGGACGATGGGCATACTATGCGTCCTTAAGGAGGCAGGTCTAAACGCCACAGAGCGGCTTAATACTCCCACCTGCCCGCTGCACCACTCTGCACTTATCTAGACCAGTGATCCACGACGATCCCGGTCATGGGGGACTCCCCTAGAGCCCAGGCAGTCTCCCTGCAGCAACTCTCTGGCCCTACAGGACCATGGCATCACAATGATCAGATGGCTGCAGTAGGTGGCTAATAGCTGCCTGCAGGGGGATTGCCCAAAATGGTATGCCATGATGGGGTAATTCACATTCCTGAGCTACCATATGGTCTCAAAAGGCAACATAGGGCCAACAAACCAATCTGGCAAATTTCAATATGCAAACATTGAAAAGGGGAAAGCCCTGTATTTGACTCTGTAAGTTTCCAAAACCCCATACAACCTGTACATGGGAGGTACTGTTTTATTCGTGAGACATTGCTGAATAAAAATGTGTGTGTTTTATTGCAGTAAAAGTTAAGTGTTATGACATTCACACTTAAAATGGCATGAAGAATTTTAAAAATAACATTTCTTAATTCCTCACACTTTTTTAGGTTTTATTCAAATAAAAATGTTTCATATAAATATTTCATGTGAAATAAAAGTCTTATTCCTTCTGAACAAAATTATATATAATAAGTGTGGGTGCACTTAATATGAAAAAGGTGGATTAACCTGGCTCATCCTATTTTAAGTAGTTAAAAGGTAGTTAGAACAAATTGTCTACTTGCCTGGGGTCTGCTGTGTGCCGCTCCCCCACTCCTGCGCCTCAGACTCTTCCTTAGGAGACCTTTGTTCGTTCTCCTTAGCTAAGCGCTGCAGTGAAGGACATAGCTTAGAGATCTTCTGGTAGCAGAAGCAGGGGCAGACCTCATACATACAGAAGTCCGATGCACCCATGGGGCTGATCCTCCCTCTGCCCTGCAGCTATGAGTTGTGCTCTATCAATATAGATAGATCCCTGATTTTGTTTACATTTTGTTTTATTCAGAACTTGTACAATTGCCTCCATCCTTAAGGAGTTAAAAGCCAATAAATAAATAACTTTGGTTTGGCAAACAGTAAATAAAACAATATTAAAAATAATTTGATGGGGCGGGGCCTGGCCGCCGAGCAGACTGATCACACTAAACAGGAGCTCCGAGTGACAAACTGCTATTAATCTCACAAATCACGACAAAACTACACTTGTTATAGCAGAAGAATATCGGTGGTACCCTGCGTCTCAACCCGCAGGGTTTTAGCAATCTGCGGAACAACCTGAAAGCGGTGACGAATTGCGGCCTACCAGATGCAAGCATGGGAGACGTGGCCGATCTCCCTGTAGGCTGTCCTGCTGGAAAAAGCTGAGGCGACCGGGACACCCGTTCAAACATTTTGCTACTGTGAAGGGTACAAATTCCTATTTAGGAGAATCAGATTAAAATTGTGTCCTTATTTCATTTTTCTGGTGTACTATATTTTTATTTATTATATTTAATTTGTGTTTATTGGTCATCACATTCAAACAAATAGTATCACACTATTGTCATCAAGCATTATTAGCTCAAGTTAGAGTACATTAGCACGGCAAAGTTCAATAACAGACATAAAGAATACAGTACAGAGGGGGCGGAGCTAGCCGCAGAACAGAGCGGCCGCAATATTTGGAGCTCTGAGCCAACCTCGGCAAAAATTGCAATTCATGGTGCAAATTGGGCACATACCCAGCTAAATATTTTACTCCCTTGTCGGGGAACACAATGGGCAAAAAACACGATAAAGCCCTAATGTCCGAGATAGCGGAGAACTCCTGCAAAATAATATGGCGCTGGAAGACGACAGCTCTCTCTACTCCTCAGACGGCACCCCCTCGGATCTTGGAGAGGGACCATCCAGAGGCCCGGCACTGGGCTTGCCACCTGAGCACTCTCCCACACATCCACCAGTCGGTCACTTGTGACAGCGGACCTGCTCAAAACTAAATTGGCAGATCTGCGCAAGGACCTACTTTAAAGATGCAATTGAAGGCACAATGGCCAAGATTGTCCTGCTAGAAGCCTCTACAAGCACCCACAATACCAGACTTACCTCAGTCAAACGGCAGATTGAGGAACTAAAGCAGCAACAACTTACCACTGTTGAAAGGATGGACACGTTGGAAGACCAACGGAGAAAATATAACTTAAAAATCCGTGGAATTCTGGAGTCTGTCTGCCTCACTGACCTGCCACACTATGTCAGATGCCTAATTGCAATCCTACTACCGCCGAAACAGGCAAAATCGCTGAGACTTGACGGACTGTTTCGCCTCCCAAAGCTGAAGACGGCACCGCCAGCAGCTTCTGCAGACCTTACTATAAGGTTCCTCCAGGAAAAAGCCCTGCTCCAAAAAGCTGTCCGAGGGAAAACCCCCTTAACCTTTTGAAGAGAGATCTCGCAGCTATCCAGAACTGAAAACCAAGTTAGGCCTTGCTGACCACCCGAATCCTGCTAGGATAGCGGAGTTCATCCCGCGCCCATCTCAGTGGCCTTCCTCTGTGCAAGACCTGACATGAAGAACAGAGAGAGTTGGGGACTAACTTTAGAATCCAAAGAACTCCCTCTTTCCACCACCATTAACTGGCTCCCACCATGGTTCGCAACACCACAATATGCTAAAGCTTGTTTTATCCTCCGTTACCATTATGTTACCATTTATCTCCTATTTTGACATGTCTTTCTAACGTAAAACACTGAGATATCCAAGATGACGTAAATAATTACTTGCTTTCCCAACCAACAGAGAGGTGTTTTTTGTTTGTTTTTTTACATAATTATGCGATAATCTAGATTAAAAATTAGTACATTGATATCAACTTTTAGGCATATCTTTTTTTTTTTTTTTATGAAAGAAGTTAAAATATCTAGTTCGAAGATGAATAATTACAAACTGTGGAAAATACTCTTTACTTCTTAATGATAATTAGATTTGTAATTTGTAATAAAGAGGAAAAGGAAAAGACGTCATGAGTCTATGAAGTTCATCCTTTATTTTATTTTCTAAATCTTCCTATTTATATTTATTATATGCTGTAATTTTGCAACTCAGCCACCCCAATGTGTGGCTGCAAAAAAACAATGTTTTTATGGTAATTTTTGCTTTGTTGTCTAAAATTTTTATGGTTCATGATAATGTATGCTGCATGTGCCTAACGTGTGCCTGACTTGCTATCTACAACATGCCAATTACCTGTTGCAGACAGCAGGTCAGGCACACGTTAAGGAAGAAATGCCCCTTACAACTGAAGAAAAGCTTTCTTGCAGTCATTGCAATTTTCTTTTTTCTTTTTTTCTTTTTGTTTTATATAAAAAGAATATGCTATGGAGATAAAATCTAGAATTCACTAAAGGCAATACAGCTGAAATAAAAGGACACTCCAGGCACCAAAACAACTTCATCTAAATGAAATTGTTATGGTGCCAGGAGACACTTTTATCTCAATGTGTGACACCGTTCTCGAATGGTTTAACCCCAATATTGCCTCCAGAGGTGATGTCCACTCCCCCACAGGTGGCATCCGGCTTCTGACACTCAGACAATTGTGGCTCCCCATCCACTAAACTGTCTTGGAAAGAAACATATCTTTCCAAGCCAGTTTTGTAATTGGAGAGTCACTGATTTGTGAGAACATTAGCTGACTGGTGATGACAGAATGACACATGCAAACACCTGATGCACACACTGTCACTTACAAACACTCTGACTCACAGATACATACACCAAGACATACAAACTCATTGTCATAAACACATATTGACACAAAGATATACACGGACATAGATACATACATACATGTCAGAGTATTTATATTTTAACCACTCTTCTGTTAACGTACCTTTTATAAGATGGAGGTGGCTTACTTTGGTTCCTGTTGCTGCCTAAGTTTGCTTCTGGAGCTGGGTCTCTCCTTCCTTTTCCTCCCCCCAGTTTTGTTCCCTCCTCCCACTCCTCCTGAGCCTCTTGTTAAAGAGCTACGTTGCTTAACTGGGCCCCTTTTCAGCAATACTTACTGAGCTAAGTGCATAAACCACCTGATGGACCACCTCAGCATGTGTGCCTTTGTGCACCCACTCCAGCTGCACCAGCTGTTGTTCCCCGGCTGATATTCATGATGCTGTTAGTGTCACTGACACCCTGCCTAACTGCATAAAGGGTGTTGTGTCATATATCTGTGTTTTTGCACCAGGATGACAACCTCTACCTAGCAGGGTAGTTGGGCTTCCCATACAGCAACCTCTGCTGTTGCATTTGCATTTTTGCTTTAATCCCCTAAAAATCTTTAAAAGTGTGCGGCAGGCACTGTTAATCATACAACTGTGTTTTACTTGCCATCAGTCATTCTGACACTGTGTCAGTGCCGAATTAACATAGGGGCTGATGGGGCTCCAGATCCAGGCCCAGGCCCAGGCCCATGGAATAGGCCCATTTAAAAAAAAAAAAAAAAAAAAATGTTAACACACTACTCTTGGGTTTGCCACCTGACTGGTATTTTTACCAGCACAGCAGGTATTTGGGGCTGCCTGGCCGTGCCGGTATTGCAGTAATATCGGCAATACAAATGCAGATATTTTTCTCAGTATAAATGTAGATTACTCTGCAATACCAGCACCAGCCAGTAGGGGTCATTGTGTGTGGAGAACGGCAGGGATAGTAAGTTACAGCATATCCCTCCCTGCCTCTCTCCCTAGAGTCTCATTGCCCCCATGTGTCCCAGTGTCCCCAAATATCTGTCTCCCAGCCAGTGTCCCTAGTGTCTCAGTGTCCCCATGTCTCCCAGTGTCCCTATGTCTCCCAGCCAGTGTCCCTAGTGTCCCAGTGTCCCCATGTTTCCCAGTGTCCCAAAATGTTTGTGTCCCGATGTCCCCATGTCTCACATCCAATGTCCCTAGTGTCTCCACGGCACCCAGTGTCCCCAGTCTCCCAGTGTATGTGTCCCCATGTCTCTGTGTCCCTAGTGTCCCCATGTCTCCCAGTGTCCCCAAATATCTTTATCCCAGTGTCCATATGTCTCCCAGCCAGTGTCCCTAGTGTCTCAGTGTCCCCATGTCTCCCAGTGCTCTCAAACCTTTGTGTCCCCATGTCTCACAGTGTCCCCAAGTGTCTGTGTCCCCATGCCTCCCAGCCAGTGTCCCTAGTGTCCCCATGTCTCCCAGTAACCCCTAGTCTCCCAGTGTCTGTGTCCCCATGTCTCCCAGTGTCTGTGTCCCCATGTCTCTGTGTCCCTAGTGTCTGTGTCCCCATGTCTCACTGTCCCCATGTCTGTATCCACAAGTGCCCTGGTGTCTCAGTGTCCCCTGGTCTCAGTGTCCCCTGGTCTCAGTGTCCCCATGTCTCACTGTGTGCAGATGTCTCACTGTGTCGACATGTCTCTCAGTGTCCCCTAGTATCCTAGTGACAAGGGAAACACTGAGACATGGGGACATGGGGAGAAATGAGGACACTGAGACACTGGAAGACTAGGGGACTGGGCGTCCAATTCTTTGGACAGACATGCCCCCTTTTTGGGCCTGTTCGCCCCTTTTGGCAGTTCTGGTAATGTGATTCACGTCAGTGGCCCACCCTTTTACCCCGCCCATTGACTTCCTGCTTCACTGGACACTGCTGTTAGGTGATATGAATTTACTTGAAAGATGAAAGCATAAATTAGAGAGAGATTAGCATAGAGTATGTGTATTCTTATAGCTGCATCCTTTGAGTTTCCCTCCAACACCATCTCCATCAGATACATGATGCTTGGGAGGTATGACTGTTTTCGTGTTTTTGGTCGATAAGATCCTGTAATTAGGCCCCATCATAACTGTCAGCACCAGGCCCACTGGGCTCTTAATCTGGCCTTGCACTGGGTGACAGAGACAGTTTGTCAGGTGAATGCAAGGACTGGACAAAATTTTTTGTCACATGGCACAATTGTGTAAGTTGACAAGTCTGCAATTTTTTTTGTAAATTCGCCAAATATTATCCGTAAATAACTCCACGTTTACTAATTAAAAAACTAATGGCAAAACACTGCAAAATGCAATGAAAGAACTGATTTTAATATATACATTTTCAGCAAATTTAATCAGGTTATCATACAATTTTGAAATTAGCAGCTGACCTCAAATTTCTAATTACTTAATAGATCTCGTTTGTCTCTACACAGTTTTTGTAGAAGTTTTTATTGTATAGTACCTGCTACTTGAATATTATTTTCCAGGCTAACAAAATATAATTTTACCTCTTTATAAATATAAATTAGAAATAAAGACCACACCTTGAATATGCTGTGCAATTTTGGGCACTTGTTCTAAAAAAGGATATCCTGATAACATTATACAAATATATTCAGGGCCAGTACAAATCTATTCATAAACAGGGCTATACATAGGACATGGGGTCATGCATTTAGGCTGTAAGAAAGGAGATTTAGTCTTAGGCAAAGAAAAGTGTTTTTTGTTTGTTTGTTTTTTTTTTTTTTTTACAGTAAGAGCAATAAGGATATTGAATTTCTCTGAAGAGGTGGTTTTATCAGAGGTCAATACATATGTTTAAACATCAATAAGAAAAATACCTGCAAAACATACAAGGATATAATTTCTAATTAGTGTGGGTAATCACTTCTTGATCCAAGGAGATATCTGACTGCTATTTTGGGGCAAGAAATAATTTTTTCCTAGATTGTTGCCAAATTGGAAGCGCTTCAGACTCTGTTTTTTGCCTTCTTTTGGACCAACAGCAAAAACATATGTAAGGAAGGCTGAACTTGATGGACGCAAGTCTCTTTTCAGCTATGCAACATTGTAATCATATCTGTTAACTATGAAGAATGTGAAGGTTTCTTTTAAAGTATAGAATTATGTACCTTCTATAAAGCAATTTAATATGTTGGGGAGACATCGGTGATGTACAATGTGTTTTTGAAACATAATACTGGAAAATGCATTAAAGCAGCACTGTTGAAGCAAGTCTATATCAGCCTAAGGATGAAACAATCTAAGATCTTGTTTACAGGTGAAGATATTGTATAATATTTTTCCTTAAGTGCTGAACTCTTCGAACATTATTGAAGTTCTCAAAAATATTAATTGAGCAGACAATAGTTAAAAGCAGATGTTAACATGACAAAGGCATAAGCATTTTCTTGTTACACCTGCTATAAGCCCAAGACAACACCTGCTTAGACCATTTGTATCTGTAAAAAAAAACAAATGTGGCCATTATTTGCTGAATATTTTGCCCTCTGCCTAAAGGGTTTTTCCAATCTGTAGAACTTAAAAATAACAAACACAACTCCCCCCCCCACAAATAATGTCCTATTGGGCATTATTCTTTAGGTTTTCCCCCTCCCAAACACCACAAATAAGTAATAAAGTAAGTTTTTACTTACCTAAAATCCAGCAGCGGGAGCAGCTTCCAGCGCTACTTTCCACGCCTCTTCTAAAGCCATGCTTGCAGTTGCATGATCAGAGCCAGTGCAAGGATTTTTGCCGCCCTAAGCAAAAGAAAAGTT